CGATTGTTTAATGTTCACTTCGCGTTCGAATTTTTTTGCCCCTTGGCTTGTCTTTCAGTGGTGATACTTAGCTATCTTTTGAATGTGACCTCTAAGCACTGATTGAATATAAAATAACAATTTAGGTATTTTTTGCACAAAATTTGCATCGAACTTAAAATTAAACAGTAGTCATACTTTGTACATATTTTGCATTTAACTTATGATTAAACAGAACGCTGCAGAAGCTATTAAATTAATTTCAAAGATTATTGACACGACCTGTGAAGAGACATGTATTAAATGATTTGAAATTCTCTCATTCTAAATACCACTCCAATTAGAAACTCGCGGTCAAATTTTTATGATTTTAGGCTAATGATTTGTTGGTTTGATTCGTATACATTTCCTACGAATACAGAATAATGTTTACATACACAAAGTAGATTTTCCAGAAAGTGTGAAGTGTTGAATGGAATGATTGTTATTCGTGACTGGTATGCCTGCAAAATCCAGTAAATATTTAAGTGCGTATCAAAAAGCATTTAAGCAATCAAACTTTCGTAGATTTTTCATTATTGCATTCTTACGTATCAATACCATTTTATTACCCTTCACAGCAGCATGCTCTGGCACATTTCTTTATTGCCAATCTGTGAGCTGAGCCCATCAGGTGGCCGAGCGGAAAAGTCGCTGAACATTGGTAGTTTTGTCCTGAGTTATTTCGGGTGAACAAGCTGGCTGCATGGGCGTTTTCGTAGCTTTCCCCAGTTGTAACGTGTATACAAGCCAGTTTCTCTTAGAAATTCCTCCATGAAGACATTTTCCCCCTTAGGCAGATAGCACTCGCGTGCTTTGCCATGATTAAACAAAACAAACCTGCATTGGTAAACTATAATATAAACTAACACTTTTACGTAGAGTTATTAGTCTCTATTGCCTAGAATTATTAAAAGTCATTAATGACATTGTAATGCATTCTAAGGCTTGATAAAGATGAAACTTTAGAGTCGATGTTACGGCAGTACAGAGCATGTGGAAGAATTTAGTGACCATCGAGTTACTAAATGGAAATCCTTGAACTGCTCTACTGTGGAAGATACATTAAGATGTTAGTTTACTATTCCAATCAAAAGTTTCGGAGGAACTCAATATCTCTCTCATAAATGAAATCTCTAATCTATCTGTCAACGCTATGTGTCGATGAGAATATACAACTTAGGAAACCAGCTTCAGAAAGTAGCCGAAATCAATAATTTTTCTCAAAGTGATACTTTAGGAAATTTCCCTGCATTATTAATTATCATTTATAAATTATTAAAATATTTTTGTTTAATTTTATACTTTTGTTATGTACTAACAATATTACGCTTTTATTTATAAAATACATTAATTAAATTTAAAATTTTAATATAAAAATTAACTTATCCTGTTAATATATCCTAACATACGAATCTGAGAAATTCGCAGTGGAGACCTTTTAAAATGTGAAATAAATTCATATCTACGTTTTAGGTACTTTTTTGATATAGTGTAGCAAAGCTTTACAGTTTTAATTATTAAATAAAAGAAATAAATTTAATGAATAAATAATTAAAGTACTGAGATTAGTTTTAAGATAAATAAAAATGTGGTTTTCTTTATACTGTACCAAACGTTTATCCATGAAATTACATTAGACTGTGTTTAATCGGAAGCTGTATTTAAACACAAAAAACGAATGTCCATTTTAAATCTATTTTACTGTCCGTTTTGGCATATCCTATCCGTACGTGCAGATGTTACGCAAAAGCATCGTTCAAATTGGTTTTGAGAGCTGTCGAAATAGATATTTTCCTTTAAATATGACATTCAAAATTTTCGCGATTACAATAATTCCTTTATTTCGTACAAGGTAATAAAAATGAAAAGAGGTTTTAAATCAGATAGCAAAATTTAATCTTGAATTTTTTTAAAGAAATCTTACTTTTTATATTGCCGGGATACTTTAATACCACTCATAAAAGTTTTATTCATGTGAATATTAATCATAGAATTCACAGCGATTCGTTATTTCACCGTAGACAAAACAGTTATTTATTCCTATATCACAAATCACTAAAATGATTGTTTTTACTGTGTATAAGAAATCATTTTACATTAAAAAGGAAATTTTTAATAGCTGAACATACTGCAGAGCTTCTTTCGTTTCTTACATCCTATTTTAATTTTCCAAAATACGGGAGAAAAAAAGTTAGCCAAAATGGGTGTCTGAATTACAGAAACACAACTCTAATTAAAGGTTTAGTAGACTACTTTCTCGAAAGAATTAATGAATTTCTCTAAGAAGCCAGTTTTTAACCAATTTATTTCATCAGACCAAAATCTTACTTTATGCAAAGTGCTTGAAAAATTTCAGCGAAACTACTTCCAATGTAGAAAAAGAATGTTAACCATATATTAAGGAGTATTACCGCTGATGATATTCAGAGGCGTAAATGAAATACTTATGTTAATTAGAGTTCTTTTGAAATGAAAGTCTGCGCGAAGTGAACTTTTTATTTCTCCTGATTGCTAAGCTCTCCAAATTATTTAGGTATTAATTCTTTTAACCGCTGAAAGATGGTAGAGATTAATAATGATTAATAGCATTTTAATGCAATCTAAGAGCTAGAAAGTTAATATTACCATTTAATGGCAACTCAGCAGCTGAGGATACAGATAATGAATGGTCGTATTTTATTTACTTACAATTAATTATCTTTAAATGTTTCAGTAGGAATTTCTATATATTTAACCAGAAGTATTGTATCCCTCTATGCAAATTATTGAACGCAACTTTTGCTAAAAATGGAAGCAATAAGTATTTTAAAATCAGTTTTTTATTCGAATAAATGATCAATGATACGCTTTTGAACCAATTCCAAATAAATGATTTCTCTTACTATGGTGAAGAATATTCTAATTGCTTATTAATCTAAAAACATAAGAAAATTCCATAATTTATAATGTTTCATTAAATTAAATAAAGCATTTAATTTTACAACTCATTTTATCAAAATGTAACATGCATGAGTTAAATTATAATTTTGTAAAATGTAATAAAATATATTAAGACACAATAAATGTTGCATATGAAAATGAGCAAATAAATAAAATAAAAAAAAAAAATATGAAAGCTTTCAGATTTTATATTATGCCCAAAGGGGCGTTTTTGTAACGTTTTGTGGGTTACCTCTATTTATTAAATATCATGTTCTTCGCACTTAAACTACATAAAATTCAATTCAGCAAAAATATCACAAAATATTTAAAAACAGCATATCTTTAGAATTTCCGATACGCAGTCTTGCGCAATGGAGATGAAAATGCTATTTTTCTGTGCAGTGTTGCCATTTTTCGCTTTGCTATCGTTGAGTTTGTTAATCGAAAATTAGTTAAAATTTTACAAAATATGATATAAATAATAAAACAGATTCTAAATTCCAAATGATCCAAGTGCCCATGTTCGAGTTTAAGATTATGTTTTTCAAAATTTGATGTCTCTAGGTAGCCTTATTTTTTCACAGTGTGAAACATACATACATTCATGCAAATTCTTCATTATTTAGTTTCTTTAGATAGAATACAGGGAGATAATATTTGATGACAACAGTTTGAAAAGTGAAACGGACATTTATAGTGTAACAAAGTAAAATGCCGCTTAGAAACTAGTAGACATTCTGGGCTACCGCCCCTTTGGGCCGCCAATAATAAACATTTCCCTCATTTCATTACGGTAGTAAAACGCAGCCTTACTTAACCCAAAATAAACTAAAACTGACTAAAAAACAACTTTTTTTAAACTTTTCTCGCAGCAAGGTGTAAAATCGCAGTTTATTTATACCCAAAAATTTTAGGTTGTATGATGTCTGTCTTTGAAATGATGTTTAAGTGTTAAAGTTTACTGATGGATTTAAATACTTAAAGTCCATTTCAGTTAAAAGTTGTGCAACGCTAAAGATATCGCAGAAAATGAATAAACTACGAAAAACTGAATCGTCAAATATTTAAGTAGAAAATTCTTATAGTTCTTCTATGAAAGACATTTGAAATACAGAAATATAACTACGAGCCTCTTATCTGAAATGCATAACCGTCTATTAGTTATATTTTGCAACTAAAAAAGCCTAATTATAAAATACTTGTGTGAATTTAATAACAAATAAGTTTTAAATAGAAGTTTTGAATTTTGTTTTATTTGAATGTATTTGTAAGTAGTATCATATTTGAAAACTGATGTAATCCAAAAAAAGTAATTTTTTTCTTTCTTTAATGACACACTTGACCATGAATTATTAGATAAAAGGGATTATTTAAAATTATTGTGCAACAGTTAATTCGGTCAAACATGTTCTGCCTAAGTCGTTTTTACTCAAAGTCGTATTAATTTAAAAACATATGAAGTAATGTTACGTTTAATTAATACCTAAGGGATGTTACAAGGATCTACCTTATCTTAAAGGCATCAGATATCTATAAAAAGCCAAATTTTTCCAAAATCATAACACATTTCAAAACTCAATATAATAACTGAATTTATGATTAACTGGCTTATGATCCGAAAATTTTGTTTAATATTTCGATATTCGTCATGCTGTATTTGCCGTTTTACCAGGGACTAGTTGCAAGAGGGATAAGTTGTAACATGTACTTTACGCAGTGAAACATGATTTTTTTCGATAGTCCCTATAACGTAAATTTTAATTTATAGTTAACTGATCTTTTTAAAAATGGTTTTACTTATTTATTTTGTATATGTATTAAGTTTTAAAATGCTGCTTCATTTTTTTACTAAATGCAATATTTTTTATAAATCAACATAAATGTCCAAAACATATGATAGGGCTAGTTGTAATAAAATCTCGCAGCAAGTTGTAAAATGCAGTAAGTTACAACTTGCCCAAAGATTTTGATTCGATCTTTCAATGTTAATATGCAAATTAGTTTTTTTTTTCTATTTAGTTTTCCTTCCCAAAGAATAAAATCGACTTTTCTTTTAGGGTTAGACCTCTCCCTAAGGCCTCACCTTGGAAGCAGTTTAACAGAGCCCATGCAAAAGGAATTATAGCGTATCCTAACTAATGCACTTGAAAAAGAAACATTGGGAAAAGAATATGAAGAGATGCTTAATAAGAAGCGAAAAAAGAAGAGATATATAAAGGAAGGGAAAAGAAAAAGTTAAAAAAAAAAGGGAAAAAGTGGTTTGAAGAAGAGGATTTTGAGCTCAGATACAGATTCTAGAACAGAAAAGTGACTTTGCTTAACTTGCGAAGATGCCTAAAGTAACTCTGTTTAAGAAGAATGAGTATAAAATGTGCGCATATGTTAAATATGTGATAGGAAACAATCTGGCATTTGTTTGTATTGATTGAAATTCTCATGAAGACTGACTTTTATGTTGATTGGTTCAATAATTTTATCTTAATTGTACTATAAAACACTTGACATCATTCAGTGTTCTTGTATCAAGTAATAATAATCATATGTTTTTAAAAAATATCGTTCTTTTTATTGTTATTATTAGTCCCAGAGCTGATACAATTTATCCCAAGGGCAAGGCAAATTCTCCTACTGCGAGCGGCATTATGCAACTGCCATTTTATGAAAGCTTTAAAATAGCATCAACACGAATGAATCTAGAACTACGACTACCAACAGAGGATAGAAGTGAAATAAAGCTACTTTAAAACAATAATTATAATAAGTTTAGGTTTGATTCTGCTGCAGTGATTAAGATTATGAAAGAGAAAACTACGGAAAAAAAAGCAGTGAATCCAAGAGATGATTGTATCCGATTTTATAACTTAAATGGCAAACCTCAACGAAAATAATCAGCAAGAATAACAATAATAATTTGTAAGATTTTTTAAGATTTTGTGCGTTGGTATAGACAAAGTAGTCATGTCTCTATTAACAAAGTAGTCTTGCAGAAACACATATGTTTAACAACATGAATTTCCTAAATTTAATAGCCGAAATTTTTAGTGCTTCTAAAGTGCACGGTTATCTTCGCGCATCTTTTGGCAGCAGAATGTCAAGTGCATTGAAATGCCTAGCTTCCTTAAGATATACTTTTAAGATACTGCAATATTCATCACCTTGGAGTGTTATGATTACGTCAAGTTTTCTTTCAAAATGAGCGGTAGTAATTTCCAATTTCAGTAACTTGGAGATGTGCCAAGATGCGACCATCAGGGTTAGCTAAACATAATTAACTCTCTTATTAAAACGCACATCTTAAAATGACTCAAGTAACAAATCCGACAAATAAAATTTCTCGAAGTATGATACGCACACTGATAGACCGGACATTTAAAATATACAAAATATTCATGCTAAACGTGGTAATATAGAAAAATCTTATTACCGGTTTCAAGACCGATTAAAAATGCTGTTCTCTGAATCTAACAAATTGGGAAATATATCAGGTTACTGAGTATAACAAAATTTGATAAATTCTCTTCTTTGACAAAAGTGCGTTAAAGAATTTTATTTTTTAATTATTTTCTATTTTAAAGTGTTCTCATGTTGCAGTTTAGGTCCTACGTTTAAAGTTACTGTATAATTGATCTGTATATGTCATTTAATGTATATTTTATGTCATTTTCTGTATTTATTAATTTGCATTTAATTTCAACCCATTCGAATAGAAAAATGTGTAAAGTATTTCTCCCGCCTTCTTAGCATGCTTTCGTGGTATAGTGGTCAGCAAGCTCGGTGCGTATTAGAGAGGTCTGTGGTTCGAATTCCTGCGAAGGCATTGCTCATTTTTCATGTCTCTTTCTTCAAAATAACCTAATGCCTCTTCAGTGGCGCCCGAACTAAAAAAAAGCTGGTGGAGGATGATTCTCTACCACCAGGATTTAGCGATTGGGTCCCCCTAATCCACAGTCGCCCTTTAAAAGGGGAAGCATATAAGGTATTTCTCCCGCCTTCGCAGCATGTCTTCGTGGTGTAATGGCCAGCCCACTTGGCACGTAATCGACAGGTCCGTGTTTCGAGTCCCGGCAAGGGTATTGCACATTTCTTTAATATCCTGATTCAAAACAATTTTACATGGCTCTACAGTGGCGCCTGAACTAAAAAAGGTGGTGGATGATGATTCTCTACCACCAGGATTTGGCGATTGAGTCCCCTGATCCTCAGTTGCCCTTTAAAAGGAGGAAATATATAGGGTATTTGTTAACATGCCTTCGTGGTGTAGTTGTCAGCACGCTCGGCGCGATTCGAGAGGCCTGTGTTCGAGTATTCGCGAAGGCGTTGCTAATTTTTCATGTCTCCTGCTTCGAAATAATCTAATATCTCTACAAATGTAATCATTACTTAAAGCAAAGAAAATTTTTCTTATGCTTATTGAAGATATACATCATATTCATTTCAAAAAAAATAAAATAAAATATTCAGAATAATATATGATAAAATCGTTATTACTTTCGTTAAATTCAAGATTGGATAAATTCATATTGTTAAAATATTCATAAATATAAAATTATTAATTCATTATTTATGATTTTAATTAAAATCGCTATTGTATTTTTCGCTGTTATATGTTGCAGAAAAAGTATGAAATATTTTAAACTATGCTGTTGTGATAAAACAGTAATGCGAAGAAAATTTATCAGTTTATGCGTTAGCTAGACTTACTGATAATTCATGAAATAGTTATAACTTTTAACAGTCATAGAACATATCAAGGGGAAAAGAGCTTTCATGTCAGCTAACTGAATTTTGAAATGTTATGGGACTTTATAATCGCTTTTGATAATGAAACAAGTTTGAATAATTATACATAAAACAGTAATTATAACATTAGACCTTTAAACAGGTTTAGGTTTCACTCTGCTGCAGTGATTAAGATTATGAAAGAGAAAAATATAGAAAAAAATCTAATATGGACACCACAAAACTTCCTTGTACGGCCTATTAAATTAATTATACAAATTTCTTGCTCCATTTCATTTAAACTTATTTCCTTGAATTTCGTTAGAGATACAGCTCTCATTCAATTCATTCATTTCTCACTTCGTGGCAAGGCAAAAAAAAAACATGAAAACTCCGAACATCTTCATTAAAAATTGTAAAATACAGAAGAAATAAAATACCAAAAACAGTAAAAAACAGTTTTTTTTTTTTTTTTTTTTTTACAATCAAAATTAAGGTTTCTACGCAAAAACAAGCAAATTGGCCAGCTCGCAAAAAGACACTGAAGTTGGTGCACAAACTGACTTAATTCACTATTCTACTAAGAGTTTCAAATAGAAATAAATGGTGACTTCGTTAAGCTTAGTACCTCTTAAACAATTTTTAAACTGTTGGTAATTCTAAACCCATTGCATGCAGATCAACTAAAAGCATAAAACGTTAACCGGTACACAAGAGCAACATAATTCAATCACTTTTAAATAAAAAAATGTAAAATTTATCAAGATATAAGAAAAATAAACTAAGCTCACCGAGCATATTTGTATTCTTCTGCTGCGGCCGATTGCAACTAAAAAGGGAGGTGCACAACTATATATTATTATAGCAGTCCGATGTACAAAATTTCAGCGATCTGAGGCTACTCAGTTTTGAGTTATGCGAGATACATGCATACGTAAGTGAGTACGTACAGACGTCACGAAAAAACATCTCTTCTGAATAAATTTTAAGTCTATTTTACAATTCGTTTTGGGGAAAAGAGTCCTTTATTCTATCCTTATGTATAGATGCCAGGCAAAAACTTCATTAAATTACATTCGAGAGCGGTCAAAATGGATAGTTTCGTTGAAATATTATACTCAGAAGATTTCTCGATTACAGTACTTCCTTCACTTCGTACAGTTAAGTAAAAAAGCAGTGAACCAAAGAGATAATGTTATACGATTTTATAACTGAAGCACCAAACTTCGACAAAAATAAAAAAAGCGTGAATAACAAAAAAATGAAAAAGTAAAACGATCAAAGAGCTCTAATTAAGAAATATATGAATATTTATGTAAACAATGAACATAAAAAGGAGACTATAAGACTTGTCCAACTATACTGAAGGAATAAAAATGAAGCAAAAGTATTAGATTTGAACCTCAAAGTATTTCCTTTCCTTATTTCATTTATTATTTCCTTGTACGAAGTAAAAGTATAGAATTGTATCGCGAAAATTGTAATCGCGAAAATTTTCAGGCAACATATTTCAACGAAAATATTCATTTTGACAGCTATTGAATACAATTTAACGATGTTTTTGTGTTACATCTGTACGTAAGGACAGAATAAAAGACTCTTTTTTTCCTCAAAAAAGTATAAATCTAATTTAAAATGAATTCTAAGGAGAATTTTTCGGGGCGTCTGTACGTTCCTCGCATAACTCAAAAACGAGTAGCCTCAGAACGTTGAAATTTTGTATGTAGGACTGCTATAACATGTAGATGTGCACCTCGTATTTTGGTAGCAATCGGCCGCACCAAACGTATATAAATATATTTATATATATATATCGACTCTGTTACCCGGCTCAGTGATCTCATCTTTACTCTTATATGTTTATAAATGGTGCATTTTTTGTTTTAAAAAGGATTGATTTTTGTTGTTCTTATCTTCCGGTTACGGTTTTTATGCCTTTAGTAAATCTGCAAGCAATATTTGTATAATTATCAAGAATTTAAAATCTGTTTAAGCGCGGTTAAGTCTAATTTTTAAATAACATGGCGGACATATTTGTTTACATTTGAAACAGCAGAATAGTAGATTTGTTGCCAGTCTAGAGAGACTAAGCTTCGCAATAACAAAGATAACGCCCTCATTTATTATTGCGAATTAAATCATGCTTAATCCTTGTGGCAACGGTTAGATAATTCTTCAACTGAAGTAAAATTTGTGCATCCTGAGTTATAATATGAACGAAAATATAACGCTGTTAAGTGAACCTAGCGCCAGAGTGTCGCTATGGTAAACAAATGTAATGAATTTTAAAGTGTGCATTTATTCTATTGTGTTTATGCTCTATCGACGAAGTAGATTTAATTCAATCCAATAAGTTTAAATGAAATGCAAGAAAAATGAGTATAATTTAATATTCCGTACAAGGAAGTCATGTGGTGTACACATTAGATTTTTTTTTTCATTCAAGCATACATTAGGAGAAATATTTATGTCTAAAATTCTTAAAGGCGAAGATTTAACTTTGGAGCACTTATTTAATTAATAAAATTGAGATAAAAGCAGATATATAGGACACTTCGAACTTAAAGTGTACCCTACAGCATCTTAAATAACAAAGAAACATTATTTTTTTACAAGTAAAAATGAAATAGATTCAGGGATGTTCCTAGCGGGGTTGCAGCGCGTAAAAGCACGCGGGGGACGAAAATCACGGGCAGCAGGACCCACGCGATGCCACGTCTAAATATTTTAATTTCATTAAATTCATTGTAAGTACTTAGTGAGTATGAAATAAAAAATATATTAATCATTGAGCATTTTTTTTAATTTGGGGGCGGCAGTCTTAGGAAAATACGC